TACATGGTTCTTATTATTTCAAAGCTCACATCAAAGCAATCTCGCCCATAATTACTTCTGAGTCATTAAATAATTGGGAAATGTTTAAAAATTAGGGCCATGTCCACTGGGATCCTAACTATTAAGTAAGTATTCACAATTCTTTATTCACATTTAAAGGTATTATTACTACACTTTTAATGATCCAAATGTGGCCCAATGGCTTTTTAATCCTAAAAAGGACATCCTAAGGCTTTGTCTACATATGGCCAGTGGGTACCTGCTCTCATAGGCATCATTAGCTATCATTCCTACTGATCCAAGCAGGTCACTGAACAATTCATTTGTATGTGGCACGGTTAGATGAATTTTTCTGTTACATCGTGTTGGTTTAGTTTCAACTATAATAGTTCATGTAATATACAAATAGTTAGAATTTGAGGAATAGATTTTGGAACATTCTTGCCCCAATGTTTGAGATTTTTCAACATATCAGATATATGAATTACTTCAGATATTCTTTTTTCCATTTGTGCGTATGCAAATGCATATACATATATATGTAGTTGCACTTGTATGCAAGTGAGTGGGGGACAGACAACACTGGATGTCCTGTTATACCATGATCCATGTTATTCCCTTGATACATGGCCTCTCACTGAATCTGGAACCTGCTGGATTTTGTGGATAGGCTCAAACTCCAACAATCCTCTAGTCTCAGATAGCCCTTCTCCAGTACTGCTTACTAGTATACATCTGGCTATGCCCAGCTTTTTTTTTTTTGTGGGTACTGGGGATCAAAACTTGGGTCCTTATATAATCGCATCAAGCATTTTATTAATCAAGTCATCTCCTCAGTTCTAAAATGACTTTAATGAAGAGCTAGTAAAAAAATTGGAATTTCTAAGAGGAGGATTGGTGAAAGCTTAAGGAAGTCAAGAATAGAAGCCCAGTGATTAATTTGTCTAAGCTAAGGGAAACGGTATCTCACTAGATATGACATAAATAAAATGGTCTATTTAATCATCTTCCTGAGACTCTTGAACCACCTGAGAGAGAATGTGGCTCTCCACAATGACACCAATTATTGGGAAGTCATGTTTTAAATGCATTTCTGCTGTCCTATAAATAGCATAGTACCACGGCCCAGGATTTGCAGTAGGTGAAAGCTATGGTCTGTCAGCTTTTCAGTAGCGTGCTAGTAAGGGCCTAAGAACTGGCCCCAGGACAGGGAATCTCTGACTTATAACCTTAGCCAGCCAATTTTCCACCATGGCTATTTTAAGCTTCCAACCAAACATCACTGTACAGAGTTTAAAAGATGAGTAGTTGTTCTCTCTTATATATCACCTTCTCAGTACAGATAAAATAGAAGCACGTCCACCTCAAGGATATAAAAAACAGTCGATTGGAAGATGAGGCAAAAGTATTATCATAATGCCCCTATCATTTAGTAATGGTTGTATTTAGCAGCCAGCTTGCAAAAATCCCTGAAAATATGACATTTGGATTGTCAAGAATCAATCTGAGCTAGCTGGATTGCTCCTCTAAGGTCACAGATGTTGAGGTCGCTGCAGGTGATAAGGTAAAGGAACAAATGCCATATGCAAAGTAATCAATCATTGGCTGTACCTGGCTTTTCTTTTGGGTCACCAATCAGCTCCCAAATCATGACACAGAGACTTATTATTCAGTTTTGAATGCTCGGCCTAGCTTAGGCATGTTTCTGGCTAGCTCTTTTAACTTAAATTAATCTGTTTTTCTTTACCTGACTTTGACCTCGGGGCTTTTTTCCTTTTCTTACTTCTGTGTATCTTATTTCACTGCTTCTCTATGGCTGGCTGGCATCCGCCTGGCTTCTGGGCCCACATGTGCCCCTAGTTCTCTTCTCCTTCTTTTCTCTTAAGCCTAGATTTCTCCGCCTATTTATTCTCTCTGCCTGCCAGCCCCCGCCTACCCTTCCTCCTTCCTAGCTACGGTCTGTTCAGCTTTTTATTAGACCAATTAGGTGCCTTAGGCAGGCAGGGTAATACAGCTTTTCATAATTAAACAAATGCAACCTAAACAAAAGTAACACACCTTTACACAGTTAAAGTAATATTTTGCAGCATAAACAATTGTGACACATCTTTCCCTAGTTAAAATAATATTCTACAACAGTAGGCACTATGCTGTTAAGAGAAGTCTTTTCCTTGAGAGAAGCCTTTCCTGCCAGCCTGGTTCCAGAGCCGCTTTCCCGCCAGCCTGGTTCTAGAGCCGCACCAGTCCCAAATAAACACACAGGAGGCTATAATAATTATGAAGCTGTTGGCCTTGCTTGTTTCTTACTGGCTAGCTCTGACTTAAGTAATTACCCCATAATTGTTAATCTATGTATGTCTCTTACCGGAGAATAGTTCCGGGCTCCTACCCCATGGCGTTACATGTTGACTCTTTTGTGTTTCTCCTTCCCAGAATCCTCCTGGACTCCTAGCCCCACCTATCTAGATTCCTATTGGCCAGACAGTACTTTATTGACATATACACAGGACTTCCCCAACACTATGCATCTTCCCTAAGATGTGATAATTTGATTGCAGACCCCTGTGTTTGAGATGATGCCCTCCCACACACTCTTAGTCTGTGAAGAAATGCTGAGTCACATTCAGAGTACATATGTTCACAATTAACTCTACTTAATTTCAATTCTTTGTTCATCTTTATAGTGGGTTATGCTTTGGGCCAGCCTTTTGGCATTAGTTTGCCTTTTTTTTTTTGAACCTAACTTTTTCCTGTGCTGCTTTAAGATTTTTTTCATTATCACCTAAGCAACCTTTTATCCTGACACATAAGCCAAGACACTGAAAGATATTCCCTCAATTTCATCAGTTTATCCTTCATGGCAACATCTTCTTTCAAGAGAAAGAGTAAAAATATGAATCGTTTCCATTGTCCATCTGTAGCATAAATACTACCATCTCATTGGGCAAAGCAATGCGAAGTGATTACAAGGTAACATGGCATAGGCTATGTATACATTAAGTATGAAGAATTGGAGCCATTAGTTTAATTAATCTACTTCATTTATTATCAGCAAGAAAAAGTAACTAAGACATAGAGTCATGTATTTAATGTGCTAAAAGCTCTGATTACCAAGATCTTTTAGAGGAGGGCTAGCTGTTAAATCAGTCTGTATGATAGTCTGTCATACAAAAGCCTGTAAAGACTGCAAAGCAGTCTGTGAGGTGCCAACTTACCAGCATGCCACTAAACTCATTGCAAAAGTCCCCATCTGATGCTTCTCCCGTATGCAAGTCATTATATGATCAAGTTACTTTCCCGTTCCACATTAGAGAAAATAACACAGGCATAATTATCAGTTTGCAAGTTTTCTTTTTCTTAGTTACCCATTACACATGCAAATAGCCTAAATTAATTGTTCTAAAGATAGATGGCTCATCACTCCTTCAACAGGTACTATAAAATTGTAATTAAGTAAATATCATCAAGGAAATTACTTGAGCTTAAGTTTCCAATTTGCTATCTTAAGAGTATCTCAATTCTCATTAATTCTGTACTTTTTCTATAAATTTACTTCAGATAACTCTAGAGTCAGCATCAGTTTACAGTAGCTACAAAGATTTCTTTTTGCTGCCCAAAGATTTTGAACGTAGATATACCGTTGCATTATAAATGAAAACGGAAACACATTCTATTTCAAACAGAAGTAAGCATGTGTCACAAAGCCCCAATACTTATGCTACTAGGGATGCAGGAAACACGGGCCTTTTCAATCTTGGAGGCACTCCTGAATTCACTTTCACATCGCAGTCACCAAGAGGAAAGTGACCAAGTCACAATTCAAGAAAGCACATAGTATTTGAAGAGCTGAAAAATGAATAGGTGCTGGTGTTCTTCTTGCCTTGGAAGCAAGGCAAGTGTGAGGTGATTTTCCTGTGTGGGTTTTTAAATTTTTAATTCTTTTTGTTTGTTTGTTTTGGTTTTTCGAGACAGGGTTTCTCTGTATTGTTTTGGAGCCTGTCCTGGAACTCACTCGGTAGACCAGGCTGGTTTCGAACACACAGAGATCCACCTGCCTCTGCCTCCCAAGTGCTGGGATTAAAGGCTTGCACCACCCAGCGCCTGCCTAAAATGGACTTACAGAACACTGTTTTCATATGGATTTGCAAGCACATTCCATTTTGGTTGATTTCCCTCCACCTGCTTTATTTCCTTGTCTCCCTTTCCACAAACCCTTGTTGATTGACACTCCTTTGACAATAGAAAGAAATATAACTAGCCTAGATGCCAATCAATAGCTTCAAGGATGATGAAAATGTGATTAAAAAAAACAAAACTTTAACCTTTAGTTGTGAGACTACACCTATATCTCTTTCGTATTGAAGGAAAGCACTGGATATGTACACATATACACACCTTTTCCTTTTTTCACATATGTGCATATATGTAAATGAATATATGAAGTATGTGTCTCTCTGTGCATGTGTGTGTGTGACTAAGGTAGGTTAAAGCAGGAAAATCACATGTTCACAGTAAAAGTAAAGTCAGCATGGGTATACTAGTGAAAAAGCACAGAAAGTTTAGAACAGAGCTAGAGCTACAGCTCAGTGATAGAGTACATGCCTCACGCATACAAAACCCTAGATCCAATACCTAGCTCTAGAAAAAAAATCCATGTTCAGGTATTTTTAACAACAAAAATCACCATATTAGACTTATTTACTTACATTTGTTATCTTTAAAGAACTGTACCACCATTCTAGAGTGAAAGACAAGGTGTAAGGGATGAGTTGTTAGCATATGCCTGGTAGAGTCCAGAAGAATGAATAGTAAGGAAACATGAGTTACTTAGAAAATAATGCCATAATTTCATAATGTACTTTAAAAAAGATACATGATACAACTGTCCTATATTTTGTAAGCACAGATCTCATACAAAAGAAGTAATTGGAAATCTCACAGACAAATACATGCCTGTCTCAATGAAAAACCCATTAAAGTAAAAATTGAAACTAGAAAAGTTAATACAAAATGTTTTATTACAGGTGCATGTAGGTAAAGAAAAAGTACAGTAATTCTATGATAGATATGCATTCAAAATCATCCAGAAGTAAAGCAATATTCAGAAGCCCATATTTTCAAATAATAGCATGGTTAGATCAACTTGAGTGGTTTTTATAGTTAGATAAAATAGCAGAAGAGAGAATAATTAATCTGAGAAATCTGAAGGAATTCTGTTACAGTCACAAGGTCTTTCCAGAAATCAGATGGTATATTGTCTATTACCTCATCTCATATTCTTTGTTTTAAAAGCCACTGCACATACAGCACTCATATTTTCTATTTAAAGAATACAATTCCCCCCCTCGATTCTTCTGCAGGAGAAAAGGCAGTTTGGGGCACACAGGGAATGCCTTTTATATACCTTTATAGCAGTGGTTCTCAACCTTCCCAATGCTGTGATTCTTTAATACAGTTCCTCATGCTGTGGTGACCCCCCCTGTAGCATATTCCATTGCTATTCCCTAACTGTAGTTTTGCTACTGTTAAGAATCCTAATGCAGATATCTGACATGTGGGTTATCTGATATGCGACCCCTGTAGTGGTCACAACCCACAGGTAGAGAACTGCAGCTTTCCAGAGTTCGGCGGCTGACACAACAACAGCCCATGTGCAGTGTGCTGCCAGGAAAGCAGCCTCGTGACACTTTAGTTTACTGTCCTTTTAGTGCTTGGGATGAGTTCATATAGATTTTCCCCACCTGAAATTAATCTGTCTTTTTTGTTCCTGCGCAGAAATGGTTATTTTCTTTACCACAGCTCCTGCTACTTTTTGTCTTATTCTAAGCTGTACTGTTCGTGTAAAAATATGAAACATCAATATTTACAAATAATTTGGGGATATTCTCAATGTTCTATTTCTCTCATTCTCCTTATTTACAATTCCCCAAATCAATACCCCTAAAGTATATGTTTACTACAGAGAATGCCGAAGTCAACTGTACTATCATAAAACAAATCAGTAGCATGAAAATTTTTAATAAAAAAAGAGTGAACTAAAGGCATGATGTCATATTTTATACATTTTCATTTGGATGATGGTCTCCCAGATAGTTTCTAAAACAAAACAAAACAATATTTTTAGTATATATCAAATTAGGAGATGTAGGTTATTTGCATGAAGGTAATATTCTCTCTCACTAGTACTCTTTATGAGAATAAGGTCTTCTAGTTGCCAGTATCTGAGCACAATGCAATTAGAACTAACAACATTTGTTAAAGTTTGTTAATCAAACAAGTGGAGAGTGCATTTGTTGGTTCTAGTGTTTAAGCCAAAGACATGATGTGGCAGATCTTTTCCCCAATACCCACCAACCATGAGAGGGGAGAAAAGAAGGCAGAGGGGAGGGGAAAGTTTCTGTGGTTTATGGGTTGAGGAGTAGCGACCAGGGATGTTCAAAGTTTCTACACTAGAACTGAGAGCTTTAAATTATCTTAAAACTTAGACATATAAAACTTTCTATAAATGTATCTTCTTCCTCCACTGAGAAGCCATTGTCTTTATAAAGACACAAAGGACTTAAGAGTGAGGGAAAAAATACAAATTGGGATCTTCGAAACAAATTTAACGTATCCCAGTTACCAACTTTGTGAGGTGTCGGGGGGGGGGGCAACAACAATCCTAGGCTCTGGCTTGTACCAACACGGCCGCTCATCCACAGTGGACATGGGTGTCATTTGTGCTGTCTACTACTGCACATGAAGGCATGAAGCAAAGCCATCACATGCTAGGCTTCACAAGGCCCTAGGGTGGTTCCAAGACACTAGAAAACCACCACACAAGCATAAAGAAGTAAATGCTTGATTTGTTCTGTCCCCATTACATCAGAGAAACCAGTCTGGCTGATACACACCGATGTAGATCTTTAATAACACTTGTTCGGCTTCACACGTGTAAAGATGCCCCTTAAGGAAGAGAAAGGATAAAGTGATTCCTGAGAGTTTATGACAGACCAACCTGTATCTATCTATCTGATTGGCTTGGTTCTCTTTTCCTGTCTCTATACACCTACCTGGCTATTACCAAACGAGAAATTAAAGAAAAGACAATTACCTATAGGCAGTTATTGATCCACAAAAGGAGGAAATGATGTGGAGCAGAAACCAGGACAACAGAATTAACAACGTAGAGCTTGGCAAGGATGAACTGACTGTGCTCAGTCTACTCTGATGCTAACTTTGCAAGCAGCTAGACTAAGCTGACCCGGTATCAGTCAGCCTCCTCTTCTGCAGTCTCAGGAACAAGAGCTACTACTGAGAACTCAGTTTTGTGAGTCAGATAGTCATTATTTAAGCTGCACAACATTTTTTGTGAAGGAAGATTAAACTCAATGTGGGACTATATTATAAGAGAAGCATCATCTGAGAGGCCAGCAAGGTGGTCCTCTTTATCACAGCTGTAGCATTAGCTAAATCCACAGAGGTCTGTGGAACCTGCTCTATGAATATCTGAAATGAGACTTCCGTGCATTTCATGGACTGCCAACACCTCCTATAGCATGGGAGATTAGCTCAGAATCTGTCCCACAAAATGTGTGAAGCCAGTAATACTTTGTGGTATATGACATTTATCCCAAAGGAAGCTCTTAATATCAAGCTTCTTGGCATGTCCTGATTTAAAAGTCTTAGACATAGAATAACCAAGATGCTGTATTAAATGTGACTATATACAGTGGTGGTTATATAATTTTCATATGTTAGGCATAATTATTTTTAATTAGTTGGCATTTTTTTCAGCTTAGAATACAAAACTTCCAGAAGGCTGTTACGTGGAATGATAGCTATTTTGATCAACTATGAATATGAACAGTCATACACTGACAAACACTGGGGATAATTTCTGAATATGAAGAAACTGATAAGAAGCTGACAAGCATTTGTAATCAAACAGTTCAGATGGCTGCAAGCTGCTCTGCAGGCAGCAGACCGCCCTCACTTATGGTGTTTAGATCTAATCATTGCGCCTTTAACCAGAAAGCATGGCACTGTGGAGAGCATTCAGGGACCAACAAAGACACAGTCTTGAGGCAGGTTGCCATATCTGCAAAGACCTCATCTAGAGAAAAGAAAGTCAGAAGAAATGCTTTGAAACAGAAAGAAGGGAATGAAGAGAGAAAGAGACAAGAAGGGAGGGAAGGAAGGAAAGGGAGACAGAGACAGAAAGACAGAGGCAGACATGGGAAGGATATTTAAGTGTTACCTGTGCCGCTTAAGTCAGAACATGATGACGCAATATAACAAGATAATTTAGCTTGTTCCTTAAGTAAAACACACCACTTCAAGAGGCAACAGTTTTCCCAATGTTAGATGTACCCATTGTCTTAGCTATTATGGATAAGGTTTATATAGAGGAAATGTGGTAGTAAAAAGAGTTTATCAATCTTAAGAAAATTGGACACTTCTCTGAATGTTAAACAATATACATGGACACAGACAGTAATGTCTCATTTATATGTTGCCAAAACAGAGTTTCTGGTTAGCAAAGGGTGATACTTATCTATCTATCTGCTTCACTATTTCTGCTTTCTTGAAATCACTCCTATGAATAGCTACTGACATCTCACCTTGATAAGTATATTCAATACAAGTATATCCTGAGTATCGGCTCACACTGTGTCATAAAAGTGATAATTTGCAGTAGGAAAAAATTTCCTAATAGGAAAGCATCGTTTCATCACAAAAAACCTATGAGTCAATAATTTCTTCCTCCTTCCCTCCCCCCTCCGTGTGTGTGTGTGTGTGTGTGTGTGTGTGTGTGTGTTGAGTTTACTTACCTAAAACATTCTCATTATGGATTTTCAAGGAGGCCTAGTTCAGATGGGGTCTGGAAAATGAACTTTACCTGAACACAGTATGATATTTTTGTATACATAAATATTACAGACCGAAGTATCCAGACCAGATGTGACTGTGAAGTTAGCCATTCTTATACTAATGAGTTTTTAACAGAGAAGATGCATATTTCTGCAACAATGCAATCAAAGTGGGATCCGCAGAATGTTTACAGAAAAGGGAAGGCTTTTGGGTATTCTATAGGCATTTGTTTTCACTTAGGGAAAAAAACTCTGGGAAACTAAGACGTGCTCATCATTATGAGAGATGCTGCTCTAATTCTGCTAACATGTTTCCAGGCCATCTATATGCTATATTTAAAGAGACACAAAACCAGTGTTTCTGGAGAGCAGTTTCTAACTATGTTAGAATATATATACCATAGGTCCTATTTGTCAGTAAAGGGCAAAAGAGTGTTGGGTGTAACGGTATACACCTGCAATCCCAGCACTTGGTAGGCAGCCTGTGCTACGTAGTGAGTTCAAGACAATACACTATCCTGCAATCTATTAACCTCCTGAAACAAAATGGCTTCACTTCTAGCATAAGGCAAAGCACAACCTATATATGTGTGAAGGCAAGAGAAGTAATTTGAGGCAAATTATGAGTATATTATGACTTATTATGACTATATACTTACTCACCCTTATGTTCATCAGGGAGACTTTATTTCCAAGATTTCTCAAAAGGTACTTAGTCAAGTCTATGCTAAGATGATGTTCTGCAGTAGATGATGAATAGAAAAGCAGGACCACTGAAAAGACAAAAATATTGAATGGTTTCATCCATAAAGACTTCTCATTTTCCCATTCCATTTGTTCCAAAATTCCTTCCACCAACACAAACTCCTTTACATTTTGACTAGTTACAGCAGAGGATGGTCCAATATGGTCTGATCTATGGCCCATTTTTGTTTAGCTTTATTTGCTTATAAATTTAGAATAACAACATCTAAAGAATTTTTTAGCTTTTAATAATCAACTGTTATATCATTGGAAAATAGTTACTGGGTTTTAAATATTGAGGAAACATACAACCTTTGCTCCTTATGGCATAATTATATACAGTACTACATATAAGTATTATAAAATAGGTAATCTATTATAGAAAATACCAGCAATTTTAATATTTTTGACAATTCTGGAGAGAGAATACTGCAATGGCACTATCATTACCTATTATGCCTTGTGTCCATCCTAATTATAATGAATCCTAATCTATAATACCTCAGGTTATGGGCTGGAGAGATGGCTCAGCCTTTAAAGGTTAGGCTCACAACCAAAAATATAATACCTCATATTTTTTTTGCCTAAACTGAAATTATCTCCCAATCTCTCTAGTCTCCCTCCATTCAGTTCATCCAATCAAACAGATTACCTTACAGCACTACTTTGCAATTTTAGGTCTGCTTAATGATATCTCAGTATTCATGATAGGAAATGACAACACTGTAATTTATTGAGCAAGTACTGATTAACTGTTCTCATGCACTGATCATAGTAGTGGTTCACATTAAACAGGGGACATAAAAAGGATGATGTTAATGGCTGTCAGGGAGAAAATCAGAAAGTTAACCAATTAGAAGTTGATTCATTTGAATCAAAGGCAAGAATGTTCATAAACATGTTCATTAGACAACTGGAAACAAGGCAATGCCTTGTTTAGATTTGGGGACCAGAAATGGGAATTTGAAAATAAAGGTGAAAGTTTAAGCATCGAGAAGAGATTAAAATTCATGAGCATACATGAATTCCTTAAGGAAACAGCTTTAAACAGGAAAGAACACAATGTCAAAGGTTGAACTTTAAAGAATATCTACCCCAAGAGGACAGAATAGAAGCTATAGTTGAGAAGCGTTAAGCTCACAGGCAGGAAGAGATCTAGGAGAGGTCAGCACTATAGAGGTTCAGCAGAAATATAGTGCTGAAATATCAAAAAGGATGCAGATGAAAGGCAGCCTTGATATTTTAGTGATTTGAAAACCTTGCCAAATTGAAATGACTTTTGAAGAATGAGAATCAGAAATCTAAAGACTGGTGATACGTTTCTCGAGGACTAGCAGTAAATGGGGCTAATAAGTAACTTTTGCAGCACTTAGTGGTTCATGATAAGTTTCTTATATATGGTAGAACAAATACTAACATACTGGGTAGTAACTTGTTCAAGTGAAGCTAATTTTTAGAATCCGGAGGTGGGAAAAGACTGAAGAAGCTGGGGATGGAGAACATAAGATGATGACAAACACTGAACAGCACAAATAAGGGAAGAAGTAGCAAGTTTTGCCAAGACCTATTGAGTCAATGAGAGCAAATGAGCTAAACCCTCAACCTTTATTCCCTGACCCTTGAATACCATTTTCATTTTTCTAAATTAAAAAGTTTCTAGATCTATTGAGCTATTGGACAAATAAAACTTCATGTTTATCATGTTTAGATATATATGTATATACACATTTATATAAATGATTATCACAATCAAACATCATGTGATTCACTTCTGTATGTGTGTGTGTGTGTGTGTGTGTGTATGTGCGTTTTGTAGGAGCATATGTGATCTACTGTAGGAGCAAATTCCAACTATGGTATACATTTCTGCTATTTATAAACACCATTCTATACATATGTCTCCAATACTCACTTACATCCCAGCTGAGAATTGAACTCTCTGGCCAGTTGATCCTCTTTTCCTCTACCAGGCACGAATAACCACTACCACTCTACTACCAACTTTAGGTTTTTGTTGATGCTTTTTAAAAATTTCACATACAAGTGAGATCTTGCAGTGTTCATTATACTGTGTCTGGCTTACTTTATTTAGCATAGTGTCCTCAACATCCACTCATGTTCATACAAATGGTAGGATCTCCTTTCTAAAGGTTAAATAATTATCTATTACATATTCACCAATCAATGGACACTCAAGCTCTCCCCACATTTCCGCCTTGAATGATATTGTAAACAAACATGGAAGTGCAACTATATCTATAAGATACTCTTACTTTTAGATAATGTCCAGTGGTGGAATTGTTGAGTCTTATTGTAACTCTTCTGTTACCTCGAGACATCTCTGTATTGTTTTACCAATTTACGTTCCCACAATGGGGTAAAAGTTTCCCTTTATTCCATATTCTTGGCAACAAATGTTTTGACTTTTTGATGATTATGTTAGTTGATATTGTGGGTTTTTACTTTTATGATTAGAGATATTGAGCATCTTACATCATTTCTTATATCTGTATTTTGGATGTCTACTTTGGAAAAATGTCTGTTTAGGTCCTTTGTCCATTTTGAATTGGGTTATTTATACTTTGCTATTGAGATTCATATATGTTTAATATAATGTTTATAAAGATATGTTCCGCAATTTTTCTTGCATTATTAAGGATGCTTCTCTGTGTTATTTATTTTCCTGTGCAGATAAATTCCACTTTAATACAGCTGTCATCTGTTTTTGTTTTTGATGCCTGTATCAAATCCAAAAATGCACCTTTAAGATCTATGTTAAATGTTTATTCCATGTTTTCTTTTTTATGGTTTTAGGTCTTATGTTTAAGTCTTTAATTGGCTTTGAGTTCATTCCTGTGTATGGTATAAGAAAAGGCCCAGTTTGTCTTTTATATAAAAGAAATCCAGGTTTTTTTTATTCCACCTATTGAAATCTTTCTTTCTCTAGTGTGTATTCTTTGTACTTCTATAAAAAACTGATTTCATACACATGAGTTTAATTCTTGGTTTTCTATTTGGTTCCATTGGTCAACCTGTCTCCTTTTATGCTAGTAGCATAATGTTTTGAACATAACAGCTTTTTAATATAACTTAAAATCATAAAGTGTTGCATTTCTGGTTTTGTGGTTTTTGTTCAAGATCACTTTAATTCTTTGAAACATTTGATAGCTTCATGCCATTAAAGAGGATCTGTGGTGTTTCTGTGGAAAATTTCACTGTAGTTTTGTTAGAAATTTCATTGAATCTGTACATGACATTGCTTACTGTAGACATTTGGATATTATTCTTCAGATGGATAAGTAAATTGATAACTTCTATTTATTTGCCATTTAATAGTCATTTATTCAGTGTTTGACAGTTTTTATTTTATAAATCTTTCACATCATTGGCTAAGTTTATCTTCTAAGCATTTATTTTTTAATTACTTTATTTTTAATTATGTGTATGAGTCTATGTGAGTGTATTTGCACAAGTTCAAGTAGCTGTGTGGTCAGAAAAAGGTGTTGGATTCTAGGAGCTGGTTCTGAGCTCTGATCCTCTGCCAGAGTAGTATGAGTTCTTAATGGATAAGTCACCTTTCCAGATCCCTTTTGATTCTTTTGGATGCTACTGAAAATGAGATTGCTTACTCTTTTCTATTTTAGATAATCCTTCACTAGTATGCACAAACACAGCTAACTTTTGTATGTTGACTTCTTTCCTTGCAACTTTACTGAATTTATTCTGATTTTTGTGACATTTGGGAGGTATATATATATATATATATATACTTATATATATATATATATATAATACTTAGTCATCTCTAAATAAACAACTGTGCTACTTCCTTTCCCATTTGGATGTTTTTGGCCCACCTAATTGCTTTGGCAAAGACTTTCAGTACTTTATTGAAAATAAGTGGCATTAATGAGCATTTCTGTCTCAGTCTGATTTAGAGCTAAAAAGTTTTTCACTTATTTGATATTACACATGCATTTGTAATGTCTGGCCTCTATTTTGTCAAGGTATATTCCTTGTATAACTAAAATATTGAAGGTTTTTTAAGCATGAAAGGATGTTTAATATTGCTGAATGTTTCTTTTTATCTACTGATAATCATACAAGTTTTATTTTTCATTATGCTAATATAGTACATTAACCAATTTGCATATGTTGAACCATCATCTTGTCTTAAAAGCCTCAGTACTATAATCATAAAATTAATCCAAATACAGATGTTCTTGGTGTTTTAGAATGATTACTGGGCTAGTTCAAGAATTTTGTACTACAAAAATAATTACACCTTAAAAAATGAGATTCTAAGTCTCCCAAAATAACAATATTCTAACTTTGTATTTATAGTTCATACAATATTATATGCATTATCTCACTTGATCTTCATAAGTTCAGACACTATTTGACTCAAGGCAAATTAATTTAGAATATTTTTTCAGTTGCTTTCAACTTCCTGTCAATCATGAATTTTTTTTGTCCTACTGTTCACAATAAAGGCCTAAGAAATGTTGTAGTAATATTATGAGATGAAACTTAAAAACAGCTGCCTTCATTTATCATTTTTTGTGGTTATTTCTATGGTTTTGGTTCTCTTCTTGATTTTTACCTTGGCATAGAGAACTAGGATGTGCCTGGTGTAGATCATAAAAGACAGATTTAACCTACCCAAAGGTTCTGTTGCCATCTTCCCTTCAACTTTGATTTAAAATCCCAGGCAATTTGAAGTAATATAAATAAGCACATTCAAAGTACTGCAATTGAATGTAATGATTCAGTATATTGTACAGTGTATAATACTTGGAGGACTCTAATAATATGTGGCTAAAACTATGCTATGGGGAAATAAACACGTTTGGGAAGAAGCATAAGTTCTTTTGTACTTACAAGATCAGGTTGTATCAATAGTGAACTATAACTGGCAGAAAAGTTTATCTTGTTTTGCAAAGATAGATCATGACAGACCACTATGTTTTCCTTTATATTTTATTAAAATTCTATACTTAGTATGCATATATATGGATATATCAAAATTTCACCTTCCAAAGTGATTGTCTATAGTGATAGAGGACCTCAAAACAGTGTGCTGTCAGCAATGTTTGAAGGAAGAATTGGTTCTCTGTCATTGAGCTAAGCTCAAACGAAGACAGGTTCAAAGGACGTGGGACTATTCATCTGAAGCCTTGAATATTATAAGACAAGAGGAAGAATTACTACTGTGTAATACTGTAGCATAACATTTTCCTCCAAGAATGAAACATTCCATCCTACAGACAGCTCCTAAATCAGAAGGTGAACAAGTAAAAGTCGATTCAGGAACTCCCTGAAACTTACCAGATTCACCAACTCCTCTCTCCCACAGTAGGCAATTAAAGCTGAGAATCCCCTTCAGACCAAAGGCAGCTGAGCCACAAAGATTCTCAGAAGAGAAAATCTGCAGAGACTCCGAGATAAGAGCAGCTAGCTGCATATAAGAAGCAGAAACCTGCCAAGTTGCCTGGAAGAGGTTTGGAAAGGACACTTTCTAACTTGAGCTGCCTGCAGGCTGTGCAGTGTGTTCTGTTAGCCTGCTTTTGAGAGCTGTCACTTATGCTAGGGGCAGGGCTTGATGATGCAGCTGTTTGAGTCATTTCTGCTTCTCTAAGTAACCCCTCACCCGCACTAGTATAAGTAACCCCAATAAAACGCATAGGTTCACCAAGCTGGCCTTTACTTTGGTCTGTTAAGGACTCCCTGCCTGGGGTAAGTAGACGTGTGTGTTGCATCTCCCTAGGAAGTTTTGTCGCACAACAAATACTAAAAGAAGAAAAATTAAGTCCCTGGTTCGAGGCATGTTTGTGCTCAAAATAAAGAAGAGTTTATATTAGTACGTGAGGACTGCATCACTATAAGAGAGCTTCTTGTCAAGGGCTCCAATGTTGGACAAGGTACTGGTTAGGGTATGGTTGAGGGACTTCTCAAATTTGATTCAATTCTTGATGTACACTAACTTACGAATCATAACATAGACAACGTAGTTGTCTTTGTAAGACAACTGGAAGTAACAATTGTAAAAATAAAACAAGAAGGGTACTGTATTTAGGGGAACATATGTAGGGACTGCACCATTTGAGCTTGGGCTCTGAAGGTAGCGATTTTGACTATGGCAGCAAACACCTCAAGCAGGTAAGTGATACATCCTATTTCAAATGATATCTGAGAACATCAGAAAGAGGTCCCATGACCTTGAGAATTGTGGCAAAGGTTATTGGAGTAGCATGGTGACTTCTACTTCCTTTTATGTCTATAATGACATTCCTTTCTATTCCTAGCTGTTTTTAGTAATTTGCTTTAAGTTAGTGACTACGATTTGTCTGTGATTTCGAATTTTGGTGTGGTGGCTCTTTCTGACTGAAGAGTAGCATGTCTTTGGTACTTGGGATATTTCTGGCCTGGAAAGTAAATGTCATAGTGTTTGCCAAAGGCACCTTGCTCTTAATATGATTCGTGGCCATTCTGTTGGTTCCCAGCTCAGCTACTTCTTGAGTACTGAAGCACTTTTAGCAGTGACAGAAAGCAATCTTCTGCCTTCCCTGATATGATTTGAATCTGAAATATCTTACTTGGGTTCTTGGTCTAGTTGGTGATGGCTATTTGGAAGGTTGTGGAGAACTTGAAAAGTGAGACCTGGATGGAGAAGCAGGTCACTGGAAACAGGGCCTTAGAGGTGTATCACTCTTGACTGCTTCCTACCACACTTTCTCATCTGCCATTATTGAAACATGTCTTTCCCACCAGGATAGCCTGACAAGTAGTGCTATATTAATTATGATTTATAAAACTTGACTGAAGATTCAGAAAAGCAAAGTCAGACTCAAGTTATAGAGATCAGGCAGTGGTGACACATACCTTTAATCCCAGCAGCCAGAAGCTAGGAGGTGGTGGTACATATCTTTAATCCCAGGACTCAGGATTAAAGGTCACCCAGATCTACACAGGAGTGAATCAGTCTAAAACAGAATTATAGCTCACACCTTTAATCCCAACATTAGAGAAGTATGTAAAACAGATGCAGGTCTCAGAGAGGCATTCACTTTCCAGCCACACTAAAGATGGAACATTCATTCTCCAGCCACACCGAGGAGAGGTTACAGTCTGAGGCTTGGTGAGAGCTTGTGGAGGCAGGATCAGTCCTTTCAGTCTGAGGTAAAGGTATGAAGCTAGTGGTGGGCTACTTTGCTTTTCTGATATTCAGCTTGAAGTTTGAACCCCAGCCAGTATTAGTCTCTGGATCATTTATTTACTCGTGTTACACGGACTATGCTGAAACCGAACCAAAAGAAACCTTTTCTCTTTTAATCTATGTCAGCACTTTGGTGATAGTAATGAAAAGTAGCAAATACACTCTTTGTCCATGGTGCTCTCTGTTCACAGCTGACTGAACGTGGTCGCCAATTGGGAAACATTCTCACCACCTAGTGTAGTGTCCTGAATATATCAGGTGATATGTGTATGAATTAAAGTCTTCATATTTGCGTGCTATATTTTTCAATTGTAAGCAAACTATTTCTGTAGTTTACAGTTCCTTTTGTGATTTGTAAGTGTGAGAATTCCCTGAAAGACGAACCCACTGTGCTTTATCTGTCAATGTCCAATTGGCAAAAGGTAGACTTTTGAACATAAGAAATTCACCAGTAACTACTGTCTTGCCATTTCTCTTCGCAGGTAGTAATTTACTCTCTCCTTAGGGACTCTCCTACCTTAATACTGGAATGTTTTTGTAAACTTCAAAACAGAGGTCCATCTTCATTAATCCTTGAGTTCATCATGAGGACATTTCACTTAATGATACCAAATCACCTTACACAGATTTTTATCAACTTGCAATTGCGCCATGCTTTCTCGTGGGTTTATTTTATCTAAAGTGGATCCTTCCATTTTATGAGCCTTCAATTAATTAGATTTACTTGTTTATGGCTAAATGGGTGTGACTAGAAAAGGTAGCATATAGTGATCTATATACAAATTGTTCTTATTGGTGAATATCAATGTTTGAAATTGGAAACTCAGTAAACAGGGAACTTAAATGATTACCAATAATCATAAACAATGCAAGGGAGAGATCTTTTGATCCCGTGATCTCAAGAAAAATAAAAGCAGTATTCCGAATCAGCAAATGGAAACAGAAGCCAACAGGCTGTCATTTCTATCGACTTTACTTTTAAAACCCTTGCACCGACATGAATGCGCTGCAGTGTTTTAGGTGCTACTGAAAGCAACGGAGCATGCCACAAGTCCCTCTTCATTTTCTGTTGTAACAAAGAACAGGTGCTGTGCGGCTGCCCTTCCGCATTTGCAGCCAGAACAATGCCCGGCCCAGGGAGATCACCCAAGACTTGTTTGTAAGATGGGTGACTGAGAAGGTAGGCTGACAAGTGGCTGTCACCTGGAAGCTGCTTCTTCAGCTGCTAGCTGGCTGCGGCTTCCCGCTGCCTCACCTGTCCTGCCTCGCGGACCTGAGTTCGCTCGCGCTCCCTGGCCCGTGCAGTCCTCAGGTGGGGCTCATTTTACACAGCAGGGCCTCGGGAGGAACGTCGGTCGGGCTCGTAGACGGAGGTTAGGCGGGAAAAGAGGATCCTGGGCAGCCCGAGCCTCAGTGTCTTAATCTGTGGTCAACCAGCAACCTGCACGCGCGCTCTCCTCGCCTCAGCATGGGTGAACGGTCCCGCTCGGCCTTTGGGAATAAAAAGAGCCAAGCCGCCATCGCCAGGCGAGCGCGCGACCCGCCGAGCAGCTTCCCACGGCCCGCGCTCGCCGTGTCACGCGCTCGCTCGCTCGCTCGCTCGGTCGCCCTTCGCTACAAGCGTGTGGTTGGCGCGGGCTGCCACGCCGGGGGAAGCCGAGGGCGCGTGCGCGCGGCAGGCGGGGTCGGGGCTCGCAGGGAGGCAGCCTGGCGCGCGCGCTGGCGCGTGCCAGGAAACAGTATTACGGTCTACGCGCCCGCAGGTGGGTGCGGGCGCGCGCCACAGGGAGAGGGCGGCGGCGGAGACGTCGCGCCCGCGGGTTAGACGGGCGCGTGTGCGCCACAGGCCTGTGCGGGAGGAGAGCAGGGCGCGTGCGCGCGACGGGCAGGGGGCGGGGTCTGCGCGCGGCAGGCGGAGGGGCGGGGCCCGCGTGCGGGCAGGTAGGCGCTCCCGGTCGCCCGCTCCCCCCGCCCCCGCCCCCGTCCCCGTGCGCGTGCGCGGCCCTCCCGCCCGCCCAGAGCGCGCTCCTCCCGCGCTCGCGCCGGCCGGCGTTCAGTCTGTGAGCCGCGCGCTCGGAGCAGCTCTTGCCGCCGCCGCCGCCGCCGCCGGTGCCGCTGCCCCCGTCGTCGCCGCCGCCTCGGCCTCGACTCCCGACCGGAGGCTGCCCTCGCCCTCAGCCGTCTCAGGCCTTTCCCGCCCTTCGCCCCGCCGGCCGCCGGCGCCTGGCTTCGACGCGGGGTCGCGAAGATGGAGGTGCCGCGCTTGGACCATGCCCTCAGCAGCCCCAGCAGCCCGTGTGAGGAGATCAAGAACCTCAGCCTGGAGGCCATCCAGCTGTGCGACCGCGATGGTGAGGCTCGGCGACATCGGAGGGAGACAAAAGGGCGCGGGCGGAGGGGTCCGGTCCGGTCCGTGGGAGAGGGCGCCGCTCGGGTCCGCGGGAGAGGGCTGCCAGGGGAGAGGGCGCCGCTCGGGTCCGCGGGAGAGGGCTGCCAGGGGAGAGGGCGCCGCTCGGGTCCGCGGGAGAGGGCTGCCAGGGGAGAGGGCGCCGATCGGGTCCGCGGGAGAGGGCTACACTGGGAAGAGGGAGCCGTTCGGATCCGCGGGAGAAGGCGCCTCTCGGGTCCGCGGCCAGGTGCCGCCTACTCTGCAGCAGGCAGGTCCCGGGTCTCCCGGCCGGAGACCTTACCTTGGATCCTCCCGGCACACCCGCCTCCACAAAGGCTAGATAGACTTCTCTGACCAGAAACTTACCCACCCTCTTGCAAACCCCCTACCCCCAGAAGTGAATTCACTGGGGTGAGCATTCTAGTATTTCAGTCTGCCGGCGGAAAAGCTGCGTTTCAGCACCAAGGACAGACACTGGGCTCCGGGCTCCGGGCAGCGATTCTGAGAATGTCAAAATATCTGTTCAGGAATCGATCCTCTATGTCTGCTGGGATTCAGTGTGTGTGTGTGTGTGTGTGTGTGTGTGTGTGTGTGTGTGTGTGTGTGTGTGTGTGTGTGTGTGTGTGTGTGTGTGTGTGTGTGTGTGTGTGTGTGTGTGTGTGTGTGTGTGTGTGTGTGTGTGTGTGTGTGTGTGTGTGTGTGTGTGTGTGTGTGTGTGTGTGTGTGTGTGTGTGTGTGTGTGTGTGTGTGTGTGTGTGTGTTGATGTGTCGGTACTCTATTGTTAAAGTTGGCAGTCTCCGGGGGGTAAAAAGGAAATGATTGATCACAGGTCCGAGTGTGGGCACAGAGCCGTGAGCTGGGCTAGTTAGAGGATCAGCCTTGTTTGTTCTCAGAGCCCTGTGCTGGGCTAGTTGAAGGATCAATGTTGTTTCAGTGATTTGAAATAAAAACTTCATTTGTAAAGAAATCGTCTGATGGCTGATTGGTCAAATGAATGTAAAATTCTGCATATGACACAGTTGAAAAATCAGTTGATATGGAAACCCTTGACGAGCGGTTGTTTAACTGTATGTGAGTAATGGCTATAAAGAATTTTGAAGAAAAGTTATGAGAGATATTAATTGGTGCACAGTAAGGTCATAAAATTTAGCATCATGCTCGTATAGGAAACAAAGGTCTTGTTTTTAAAAGCATTTAAATGGTAATAACTGGTTTAGTCACTGCTATCTTAAACATTTAGGTAGAGTGAGCACTGAAGTCCTGTTTACTAATACATTTGTTATTGCCAATGTGAATTTATCTTTAATTTGAAAGCAAAATTCAAATGCTTTGAACCCAACAAACCTTAGCTTCTAAAGGAGGTGTAGTCTGAGTAAATAAATAAACTTGTGAAGGCTGCTTATATTTCCTTTATCGGTAGATATCCTTAGGATCCTTCCTTCCAAGATCGCAGCTATTTTATTTTCTCAGATTGGTTTCAGAGAAAGGCAAGACTCTAAAATGAAAGTAGATTTGATTTTTATTTAGTTCAGTGATTTCTCAAATGCTAATTCAAATAGTAAGTGGGACTAGATAGCTCAATGTTGTTCCTCAAACTTCAATAATTTCAGGATTTTAAATTCCATTTGTTGTGTTTGTCATAGTTATTAGGAAAATCTTTGTTTAATGAACTTCAGAGTTACTAATGTGCGGTGCACAAGTTAATGCTGCTTTTCCTATAGTCTGTTCTCCCAGAATAGCAGCCCTCCCAAGCCACTTTTAGTTGTTTCAGTTGACATTCTGAATCCTGCGAAATGAACAAATTACGTAACATTTAATTGAGGGTGATGCTGGGATCAAGCAATAGCTGTGACAATTATTATTTGTAGTCTTCTGATGGATTTATACTAGACTAATCAGGGTTCATTTTGTAAAACAGTTTAAACCAAGGCATACAAAGAACCGTGTCTTAGAAAATGTGTAAAGAAAAAGGAGAAATTCCATAGAGAGGTTGTCCAATGCTTACCTCCTCATTCCCTTTGCGACCCTCTTCCTAAGTATATGGCAGTTTCTAATCAGTTAGTTAGTTTTGTGAGAATAATTTAGAGTGAATGCCACCATTTGCTTATAACGGTGTTGGACTAAATCTGTTAACTAGACTTCCCTTAGCACAATTGACATTGAGACATTTGCAGCTGTGTGGTGTTTGGTGGCGGCACTCGGCTCCCATCCCTCTCAGATCTCACTGTTTCACTTCCACCAATATATGGAGCAGAAAGGCAAGGTTATGGCAGCATGTGTAGCTGAAGACATATTTTTATGTTTTAGGTCTATAAAGCTATAGTTTTATGACCATGGGGGTATATTACTTTGTTTATGGTTTACTTTTTGATCATTTCACTTTACTCTCGTTAATTTGGTAAGAAAAAATGAGACATTAATTCCTTAGAAATCAGATACAGTAGACTAGGGGAGAGTATGGTATGATAATGTGCTTTCCTTTCTACCTGCAGATGTTTTTATCATGATGTATGAACCACAAGCTAAGGCTCCTGGTAAATATAACTGCCTGTCTCTCATTTCTTTGGCCCTCCTTGTATGTGTGTCCTGCTGCTGATCTTCCTATAAATTGTTTAAGCTGATAGCATCATCTTTCAGCATTTCCTTTTATTTAGTTTTCAAAATAATTAGTAGTCTTGGAAGCATATCAGCATTCAAATAGTCATACATTCAATTTTTTAAAAAGCAAAAGGGTTCCTATAAATAAACATGCATATTACCTCTCAAGGAGTCTTTCCTAGGCATATCTGCTTTGTTGATAGCATGTGGTCCCTGCTCATGTGCTAATAACTGTAGTTCAAAATGAGGATTTTAGATAGGATTCTATTAGGAAACTGTTGGAATGAGTACAGTAGCTCAGGGGCTTTTGTTATCCCTGTTCCAAGTAGGCAAGTGCTTCTTTTCCTAGCTCTAGAGTGCTTTGGTGTACTCATAATTAAATACACCATGTTGCTTCACAATTATTATTTTTAGTGGAAAGAAAAACATCCATTTTTGTCTAAAATATCATTTTTAGTTTATTTTTTTCCTATAACTGCATGAAGTGCTTACCCTCCTGTGACAAGAAAAAAAATTAGCTCACTGCCTCTAACATAAAATTCTGTATCAGTTCTGATTCTCATCATCTTATCACATACATATATACTTCTGTTCCTTCCTGAAAAAAAATATATATGCCACTAGAGATGGATGGACAGATAGATGGCTAGATATCTGTCTATGTTTTGCCAAGCTCCTCTAGTGTTGTTATAGAGAAGTTATAATACTGACCTCTGACCCCCCCCACACACAAGCTTTCTGTCTTTAACAGTCATTATCTCTCTGAGTAGGTCATTTTGTTACTCCCTACATATGGTGTATGAGCTTCCTAATGCTACTTAGCAAGTGAAAACAATGTAAGGAAACCGCAGTTTCTTTGTAATCGTAATTCTGTGGAAAAAGCGAAGGGGAAGTTTTTCTCCTTTATATATTCAAAATATAGATTCCTTTAAGGAATCTTGTTTACTGAAATTATATAAGGAGCTGAAACATTCTTCTATGCTTTTAACATATGACTTGAAACACATTTTAACACTGGGAGCATAAAGTAACCCAAACGTGTAATGGCTCAGTCTATTACCTTAGATAATCTGTAATAACATCTCTGAAGTAAGCAAGCCCCTAGAAAGAATACCTGTAATGTGTGCCTTTAATGTCTCAATCACAAGAATGTGAGGTAATCATGACTCAGTCCCACTGATGTGTGCTGTGGAATAGCAGTAATACCATTTCAGATCAGGTGGCCAGGTTAGAATGTTGGCTTTTGACAGCCCTTTAACCTTGGGCAAGTTACTTAACCTGCATTAGCCTGAGGCACTTTGTGAAAAACAAGCACAGTCATAGATATCATATATGATTTTTGAAATGTAAAATGAAGTATAATTATTGGGCGTGGAATGTTATCTTTCACATAGTCTCCTGAGTTGAACATACTAATTTTTTAACCTCTTTTTGTGTCCAATATTTGCATCCCTGTTAATAATTCAATTGTGTGCTGTTTATGAGAGCATTTCATGAGAAATTATTGGCAACCCTAAATACTGAATTTTAGGAGTAAATTGAAGAGAGTCACAGGGCGGTATTCTGACCCCTTGCTCAGTAGTCATCCCAAGAGTAATACCTTTGTCACTCGTAGTTCTAGAGGCTATTTTGAGCTTCTAGTTCACATCTGCTGCTGCTCCCCTTGTACCTTATGACATGGACACACACTTTGAACAAGTGTCTATCTCAGCTCCCCTCTCTCTGCCCTTGCTTGACAATGTTTTTCTTCATGCTCTTTATAACAGCTCCTCTGCTCTGCTGTCATATGTCTCTATGTTCATTTCTTTGCCTCAGACACCACTGTGAGGGTGCTGTAAATTTCCATCAGTGAGCAAAGAACCCAGAAAAGCTAAAGGAAACAAAGAAGAACAAGAAAACCATCAGCTATGTTAAACCAGTTCTTCCTCTTGGTGGGAGCTCTGTTTAATTTCCGTAGAAAGCCAGGAAGTTTTAGAGGGAAAGTCACATCAGAGGCTATGTGAACAGACTCCCCCCAGTGGCAGAATGACTGTGCGGCATACGCAGTAACTGGCACTTGACTGGCTGTCCAAGCAGGCCTCTCAGAAACTCACTCCAGGGAGAACACTGGAGACAACCATCAGGCCACTTGGTTTTGTCTCCACTAATATTTCCTACTAACTTGTCCCATCTTGCTTTTCCTCTAACTTGAGTGAATCCACTCCCATTTGCTTTTATCTTTATATCAGCTTCAGTAACAGCAATTGACTCTCTTGCTGAAACAAGTGTAATACTTTAGTTTCTATGTTTACTTCTCTGCCCTTAGTAAAAACATTTTGCCTTGTTGAGTACATCTCTTTCTTGGGTTTATTTTCTATTTCTGT